AATTCCCATTTTCTATGAATAAAATTCCCGTTTTCAATGAAAATTTGTTTTCTATGCAATAATTTGCCTTTCCTACGATAAAAATGTCCGTTTTCTATGATTCAAATTTCCGTTTTCTATGATTCAAATTTCCATTTTCTATGATGAACATTCCCAATTTCCATGATGAAAATTCCAATATTCTTTAATGAAAATTCCAATTTTCCATGAAATTCATGATGAAAATTCCCAAAATCCATGATAAAAATTTCCATTTTCTATGATGAAAATTCCCGTGTTCTATAAAGAAAATTCCGGTTTTATATGACAAATTCCCTTTTTCTATGATATTAATTCCCATTTTATATGAAGAAAACCGCCATATTCAGAAAGGATATAGGCAAGCACTGGTTTGGTAATAGAGTTGTGGATATGTGGAATAGGCTACCGAGTGCTATAGTAGGATCGGGGACGCTAGGGAGCTTCAAGACGAAGTTGGATAGGCACATGGAAGTGCTGGGATGGGTGTGAAAGGGATCTGGCCTGTATGGGCCAGTCGGCCTCCTGCAGTATCCCACTTTCTTATGTTCTTATATTCTCTGCTGAAAATTTCCATTTTCTATGAAGACAATTTGCGTTTTCTATGATACAAATTTCCCATTCTTTATGATTAAAATTTCAGTTTTCCATAAATATTTTTTATATAATAAAAATTCCCGTTTTCTATGAAAAAAATTTGTTTTTAATCAAAATTCCTATTTTCCATAACAAAATTCGAATTTCCTATGATGACAATTTCCATTTTCTATGATAAAAAGTCCCACTTTCTATGATGAAAATTCCCATTTCCTATGATGAAATTTCCAAATTTGTGATGAATTTAACCATTTTCCATGATGAAAATTCCCATTTTCTATGATGAACATTCCCATTTACCATGATGAAAATTTCAATTTTCCATGAAATTCATATGATGAAAATTCCCATTTCCTATGATAAAAATTCCCATTTTCTATGATGAAAATTTCCGTTTCCTATAATGAAAATTCTGGTTTTCTATGACGAAAAATCCCATTTTCTAAGAAAACCGCCATATTCTCTGCTGAAAATTCCCATATTCTAGGAATAAAATTCCCGTTTTCTATGAAGACATATTCGATTTTGTATATGCATTATTAATGCAAAATAAAGTTGATTGCTTGATTGATAAAGATTTATAGCTTACTACTGTATATAACTTCGTGTGTGAAGTGTGGTGTGGTGGCGGGGATGAAGAGGAATACACTAAGGTGGTATGGACATGTGCCGAGGATGCATGAAGATAGGCTGACAAAAGTTTATGATAACAAGAGGGAGGGAAATGGTGGGAGGGGTAGACCAATTGCCACCTGGGAGAAAAGAGTTAAAGAATTTGTTAAAGAGAGAGCAGGAAGGGGAGGAAGTGTGTTTGAGAGATCAAGTGAGGTGTGTAAGGATAAAATGGCCTGAAAACACTTCTGTTGGGGAGTTCCTGGGAGGGAAAATGGCCTCGGCGATATTGATTGATTGATCAAAACAGGTGCCGGAGAGGCGCTCCGGTGAGCTCCGGCAGCACTGCACCCCTGCCCTTAGGGCCTCACTCCAGCCATGCACCATTTTAAATGAATTTAACTCAGTTGAACTTTGTTGAATATATCATTGTTCATGTTTTAATGTAGTTGAACGTCTTATGGGCCAAGTGGTAAATATAATGTAACTAGATATCTCGTGTGTTGAATCATCCATGTGTGCCCTTGTCAGACATCTATAATATTTTGTATTTGAATTTTACACCAGACTCGTTCATTCTCTCATCACTGAAAATATACTGTAACTCACGTGCCTAACCTCTCAAGTCTACCATGCTAACAATAGTTCATTGTAGATTATGATTGAAGCAGTCTTAGAATACATTGATTTTTCTAAGTTACAGCATTTTTCTTACTTATGAAACACACCCACCAAAATAATGGCAATGTTAATTTTGGTGCACAAGTAACTAGTACATTGAAGCAAGCTAAGGTGCTCCAGTGTTTCCCTTTTCCTGTGTGGTTTTTTCAATATATATACAGTGGTCCTTCGGTTAACGAACAGTTCGATTAACGAAATTTCGGTTAACGAATTAACTCCCATAAGGATTTTCGGTTTGATTAACGAACAAAATTTTGATTAACGAAATCCTTACGACAAACACGTTTTGTTGTGCGTATCAGCTGATCATTTGATCGGCTAGTCCGCCAATACATGTATTGGTTCTATGTTTACATTTGTTTCCAGTGGAAATATCAAGAAAGTTGGTCTCTTGAATATTTCTGCATTTTTTATAGTAAAATTATTGGTTATTCTGAAATTTGGTTAACAAATTGATAATATAGACAGTACAGGGAACAGTTTTTGTGCGCCCACCAGTTGATTGAATCACCCAACAACACTTCTCGGTTTAACTTTGTTTACAGTGGAGTGAACATCGATTTTGTTGGTCTCTTGAATATTTTTGCATTTTTACATTAAAATTTTTGGTCATTCTGAAATTTAGTTAACATTGATAATATACAGTGCAGAAATTATTATGAAACATGAAGTCATTAGAACCAATGCACTCTGTAAAGAATATGGCATGTCAACCTCAACTGCCTCTACAATCAGCTGTTTGATATGTAAACAAAGCTGCCGGTAATACGACATACACATTTCAAAGTACAGTGAGTTCTGCTATAACGCGTGTTTTGATAACGCGAATTTGCTCTAACGCGATTTATGAATTCGGAACAATATCTGTATAACGCGAACGCTTGTTTGCTATAACGCGATTTTTGCTTACTATTTCTCCAATTTTGTGGTATTAACTGTGAATATGGTAAAGAAGAATATCTCCAAAAAGCGTTCTGGTGATAGAATTCCCGGTGATTATCGTAAAAGAAAGGATATAACACTTGAAGAGAAGCTCGATGTTATCAACCTCAAAATCACCCTTCTCCCCCATCAAGTTACATTCATATTTTTTCAAGGTAAAGTGTTAAATTTACTGTATGATTTCATTATTAGATATGAATGTAACATTTATTTAGACTGTGCTATCCTTTGTGTTAGGCTAACTACTAAATTTTTTCGATTTCGAGTAATCTGCACCTAACCCTATTTTCTCCATAAGCCCTGTTATTTCTATTACGCGATTTTCTATAACACGATATTTTACAAGAACACAATTATCGCGTTATAGCAGAACTACCTGTAAGTTAAAATACAGTATTCTATTGTTTTTTATTTATTATTGTACAGTATACTGTACAGTACAGTACAGTATTTAGTTTATATTTAATGTTTTTTAATTTTATTGCTAGTATACAGTACTTTGTATGTATACTTTTTCTCTGAGTTAGAACCAATTACCCAATATCCCATTGAAATAATAGATTCGGTTAACGAAATTTTCTGTTAACGAACGACTCTGGAACGAATTGTGTTCGTTAACCGAGGGACCACTGTATATACATAAATAAATCACTGTAGGTGTGCATGATCCATGTATATGCTGATAATCACATGGGAAACAAGAAAACACGAAGTTCCCAAGCACTTTCGTGTAATTTACATCTTCAGGGATGAATACAGACTAAGGAGTAATTATTGACAATATAGTAAAGGAAAGTGAAATCAAGTCCCTAGGGACAGCAGGTGTCCACCACATTCAGGTCATAAATAGTGTGACCTAACCCTTTCACCTGATTACAAATGTTGTTAATCACAAAATTGTCCAATTTGTACATGCCATTACTCAAATTCATGTTGACAGATTCGTTATCTTTAATGAGACTAGATTCTATAATGTTCCTACTGAAGATTGAATTACAAGGTAATATGGAGGAGGCATTATCCCAGTCAATGCAATGCTTATTATCTCTCAAGTGAGTGAACAAAGCATTGGATTCGTGGCCTGTCCTAACACTATATTTATGCTGTTTAAATCTAGCTATAAGATCTTTCCTTGCAAGGAACCTTGTAAATGCAGCCACCTGCATTACTGGGAAGTTCTTAATTAACATTTGTTTTACAGTGCATGAATTACTAAATGTTACATTTACATTTCAGGTTTTCTGTTGAAGAGGAATTTGAGATAAATGTTTGTTAAATAGTAATGCCAAGAGATTCTTACTGTTTTAGGCTTAAAGTTTTTATTTTATAAAATGTTACTGACTAGACTTAGCAGAATATAACTTGCATTGCTAGAATCCTTGTAAGATGGCGCTTAATTCGAGTATGAACATTACACAGTTTGCACGAGATAATTTTAGTCCTTTAGTGTAGTACAGTACTGTACATTTGAGTACAGTAATATGTTGCTCATCATTTTGGCTTTTTCACATTTGATTTACATTTAATGTTCAATTTAAGTTTCTAGCAGTCCATGGTGCTTTAGAGACACAGGAGGTGTATAATTAGTGGGTCAGGTGTATTCTTGGATTATTATTAGACCTCGGTTGGTCCTGTAAAACGGATAATCCGACAAGGCTTTGGAACCAAGGGTGCTGGAAAATCGATGGTGTATCTGTTTATTACTTAGTTTCTTCTCAAAAAAATCTAGTAATATATTACCACCTTCAGCAGATTGGTTTAGTTAGAGATGATGTAATGAGGACTTAAAAGCCTTTCTACCACTACTTAACAACTTGGCCCCCTCAATCCAATTCACTGTAAAATTAGAAAGTGACTGCAAATTACTATTCCTAGACTGTCTGATCCATAGAGTAGGTTCACGAGAGCCAGTATGCCTAATAACAACTATGTTCACGTACAAGACTGTAAGAAAGGAAAACTTCCCATAGAGAAAGCTATATGGCAAGTTTGTTTTTATCTATACATTACAAGAGCAGTGTTAATGAACTAAAGACAATGAATTAAGATAAGATGTGCTCGTTTGCTCTTGATTTTGGCCTTTTTGTATTATAATACAAATATCTTCTAATATGGAGACGATTCTTGAGGGATTAAGATAAATAAAGATATGAAAAAAGACTGAATTTATTGTTATCATTAATAACAAGCAGACATGGGAGTTTTCTATAAGCCCACCCCATTTGAGATGTTGGGAATAAATATAAAACAATATGTACACATGGTCACATTAAACCAAAGCAAGTGGAGTCAGCAAGGGATAATTTGTCTACCTAGACACTCAAGGAGACCCAACATTGTCTATCCTTGTCAGACAATATGTCTATAGCTCTCATTTAACATTTTTAATCCAGGTTTAAATTAAATATTACAAATTTGTAAAATAATTGCAAAAGTTAAATAGCTGGACTATAGTTTCATTTATGACAAACACATTTACTTCAACAAAGAATATACATGCAATGAGCTTCACTGAAGGGAGTACAAATTCCCTGTGTAAGAAACCTTATTGAACATCAATTAACAGCCCCAAGACATCATATCATGCACAGCCAAATCATCCTTTCATATGAAGGGAGTTTACCTTTAGTCCAGCTACCTTGATGATCCTATTACAGTATGAATTTGATCTGTCTATTTATTCCTACTGGATGGATCCCTCTGAGCATCAAGGCAAACAGCTCTAGGCAAGTACTCAGAAGGTTTGCTCCAGACTGTCGTAACACTCAAAGCACACACTTACCACAACTCTCACAACAGACCTACTTAACCTCGTCGATAGTTCAAATTTACTACTTGCAGCATAACTGATGTGGCAAAAAAATATCCTCCATTTCTATAGCTAAAAAAAAGCTATCTCTATTATAGGATTCGTTTGATTACACTGGTCACTGTGTGCCATTAGTGTGACAACGGGCTATAGCACATCTGAAAGTTGCCATCAGATTCGCTGTTATGTGTTAATCTTCATACCATATACATCATTAGTTAATATACATAATTGAATGTATGAGCACCCTCTCTCCAGTACACAATAATAATGTCCAAGTTTTCTATGTTGCTTTTATCGTAACAAATTTCTTTTAACTGGAGATAATCTAATGGATTTAAAATGTAACGAAGTATTAACATATGAGATGATATCAATGAAGAAATAAAGATGTCATGTAAGCAGTACAACATGTTAACTGTTGAATTACAAGACAAGTGACACACAAAAACATTCCTTAGTACAAAAGCTATGGAAACTCTTCAAACTTATGGAAATCTTTTGTTCAGATATACAGTCTCTTTGTGAGTATTTGGGAAAAATGGGAATGTTTACACATCCAACATCATTTCCCCTATCACATTCTAATATATACAAGTTCAACACTATAGTTTATATCTAGACAAGTCGGAATTAATTGTATCGTCAGGATTATGCAAGCAAGGCTTAGCTCCAACCCAGGTATTTTTCAGTCTTAGTTGTTGTCTCTCTTCCAGTAAGCTACGTACATTCTAAAAATACATGGAGATGCTACTTACATACGCCTGATGCAAGTCTTACCTAACGATCACAAGAATCACAGATTTAGTACGAGAAGCGAATGTTATATGGAATTGCATTAGTTAACACTGCAAACAAAGTATGTGCCCTGCTGATCTCACATCTTCAACTTCATCCTGATGTTTGCATTCTAATGGTTGCAAGGACCTTTGTAATTAAGTAACAATCATCACATTCACTTTCAAGTCTGACATTATGGCACCCCCTACAGGTAATGGCAAATTCAAAATGAGAGATCCTAACACGTACTAACCTAGCCATAATTTTCTAGAAGTCTTCGGTTTTGAGAACAATCATATTTGGCTTGTAATGGGGCACTTTCCAACAATGAAGTTTAACAGAGCATTTTGTGAAGGCTGCTAATGGCAGGATATGAAGTCAACTTCCAATTCCAGCCATAATAGAAGTTGATGGCAATTTCCTTACCATAATAAACATAATTTTCAGACCCATAAACTTTATTCCCCATCCTGATAAAACTTTTTCCTATCCCCCCCTCATTCTTTGAAAATTGCTCCCAGCACACTGGGAAGGCTGCCAGATAACTTAAACTTTTACTTAGATCACCAACCCCTATAAGGGTCAAGGATGAGCCACTAACAAATTCTTGTTTGTAAACAACCTGACTAATTGGTTATACTGACCAACAAAGCCACAACCAAAACCTTTAAATGCTTTAAGGCTGTTTATTGGGGGAAATAATTGTGTGAGCAAAGGCTGAGGAAAAGGCTTGCTGTCTCACACAAATGGCATGTTTATCCTAAAAAAAATTCACCCGTTGAGAGGACTTCCTCAATACAAAAGAAAAAATCAGCATCTCGACACTATGCAGGCCCACACGAGAATTTTCTTTCAAGCAAAATAATACAATGATCTATATTCAGAATTAAACTTTGTATAAAAATGCTCATAAATTTCTCACTGAGAGCCCAATTGGAGCAGCAGAGCCACATCAGACATATTCTCACAGCACATGTAAGAGTACCAAAATATACTGTCTGTGGGTTTAGTAAACGAGAAGCTGGTTTACCAAGAAACTTAAATTACGAGTGTCATGTCCTTTTTGGAAGGGAGGTTCACACGCTTGCCCTGCCAGAGAGAATTGTGGATGGTGAAAGCATCAATAGTAACAGTCAAATGCTTAGTGTGAATTTGAGAGAAGCATTTTCCTCCTGAGTTGTATCTGTGGATAAAAAAATATATATATTAAAAAAATTACAAGGAAAATTAAGGTGACAAAAATATTTAATTAGTATGTTATAAACTTTCCAAGGGATCCTCATTATACGTTGTACCAATATACGTCATCTCACATAAACCGTGCTAACAGATACAGGAAGAAATTTTCATTATACGTCATGTGTTTCACAAATACGACATCTGCATCATCCACCATTTTATACCAAGTCTGTGTGTATCCAAATATGATGCATAAATAGTGTTAAAACATCTAATATAATGTATAAATAATGATACTGTACGAAGTAATAAAAGTCCCTCCCCAAGTGTTAAGTTTCTACAACGCCAAAATACGTTGTCACCTATCATATGACTACGTGCTATGCCATTGTTCTAGGTAAGTAACCACAGAATTTGCAGAAATGTCATCTCAATGTGCTAGTGTACCTTATGAATGAAGAAAATACTACAGTATACTGTACAGTAATATAAATATACAGTAAAAGAAAAATTAAGAGAGTAGAGGTATATTCTGTGTGGGAGATGGAGTGTATCTGAGAGTAACAGGCTGTTTAGCAACACAACATGACTCACTGCAGACATCTTATGTTCCAACACTAAAAAATTAAAGTTTATATACCTGATAACTTTATTCAGTTTTTATACAATGGAGGGTTTGATGTCAAGAAATGGAATGAGAGGAAAAAACTGTCTGGGTCCATAGCCGGGAAGAGGTGGAGGAGGGAGTGGGAGGGGACAACTCACTCTCCTGCATTCGTCAGCTGCGATCACTTTGACACATCTTCATGCAATTTCACCATAATTCCTATATTAATTAGGTTCAATTGGTGTCGGGGTAATAAAATATTATCGTAAATTAATCAACTTTCCCCCCAAAAACCCCACACTGAACCCTAGACGAGTTATTGCGCCATATTAAATTCCCCGTGGCGTTGTTTACAAAGCACAAACAGAGGATTACTCGCATGATCCCTCACCTAGTCGTCATGCTTACCACAACATCTATCTTCAGCACTTAATGAATAATATTGTAATGTATAATGCAGGTGCATTATACCCTTGGTACAATATATTTATTAATCAATTGTCTTATTGTACAAGTAGCCAAATCGAGCCACCGTGTATCACTCAAAAGTTACAAACAAAAATGTTGTTAGGAATATATCTTGGATCAAACACTGTATGGTACAGTAAGCTGATTTGCTGAAAGCTTTCTCCCTAGGAACACATCTGCGCTTTCAAGGGGTATTTCTGTACATGATGGAATGCATATACTGTACCCCTAATTGCATTAATTCTTATAGGGAAAAATTCCTCATCGTAAAACGTTTCACTGTAAGTCACATTTCTCTGGAACACAACCCAAACATATAATGAAGACTCCTATAGATAGAAGTATTCGGTTTCACATAATAAACTGCATGAACAAGGACATACCTTACCAAAAATGAAGCTATGATCATGATTTCATAAATATTAATAAAAATGCATTTCAATTTCAATATATGAGATGATATAATGCAATCAACTCCATTACAGCAAGAAAAAAGGAATCGAACTAATAATTTAACTTACTTGAAGAATTTGTCAAACATCCTATCATTGACTTGTTTAGGGCCTGTGCCATACAGCTTGCAGACCTCTTCTGTATCTGGGTTAAAGGAATATATGGCTCGGAACTGGCAACCAACATCTCTGAATAAGACAAGGAAGTGTTTCGATTCAGAACGTGCTATTTCTTCGAGGACTCTGTGTTTGGCAGTCTGGTTCACCATGCCCGGAAAGACACAGTACTCAACTGCATTGAGGATGATTGTTCGATTGGACTTGGCAGTTGGCTGCTTAAATAGTTTTGGACCTGAAAGAAAAGTTTGATATTAATGAAACTGTTCCCAAGGCATCAACAACTCTCACAACTCCAAGATTTACAGTAGCTGTCTGGGTTTCATTCACCATTTATGAAGTTTGCAAAAAGAAATATGTGACAAGTCTGATGCTTCCTAGAAAAAGTTTTATGTTATTTGCAGGATGTTGTCACAAACAATATCCTTTCTGCAAATCTCATTATTTTATCAACATAGCCAATATTTATATCTGTTTAATCATTCAATATGGCTTACACTCATACCAATATCTTTAGTTATTTAATACAGCTTATGCTTCCATCTCTAAATTTAATTACAATATACATGCGACTTACATCCTCACCTGTGGCTCTGTTGTTGTCTGGTTACTATGACGACACTGGCAGCTTGCTCCAGAGCCAGAAAAACATGAACTCCCAGTTCAACTCATGATTTCTCCAAGAAATTATTATTTCTTGTATTTATTTACTAAATGTGATTTTGTAGAAAAAAGATTCAGCTTTCTAATGGTGTAAAAAAATAAATAAATATCTAAATTAGGGTGTGTTCTATTTGTATTTGAACAATATTATCTGACACGATTTGCTCTGTTTTCTGCATTGCAAAATATACCCAGTCCTGAGCAGACAGCACACGTTAATATACCTGCAATAAGGGGTTAAGGCAAAAACTATGACTTACCAAAATAGTCCATAGTGGAACTTGCAGTGGACGAGATATCACTGGCTGCATCATCAAACCCGCCTTGCCGTCTTTTACAGAATAGACCAGGAGGTAGGGAACCAGGACCAGATGGTGAGGGCAAGTGACGTGCCATCCCTGGGGAGGGGGCACGGCGGGGTGGAGTGGCACGACCCAAGCCACTATCCTCACTCATGTGGTACACCAGGCTGTCATGCTCACTTTGACCTGCAAAGTTTATTAGAAAAATTATTATGTGCTTTAAAAGTGATTTTCATTAAAAATAATAAAAAGTGAAAGGAAATAAGTGAAACATTATTTCAAATACTTTAGTTAGGACACTGGTATTTTACACATAGTCTTACTGTAACACAAATGACAAATGATTTTCGAATACTGTAATGTAATTTAATCAATAAAGAAATAGGTACAGAACAATGCCAGATAAAATGTCAATTGTAAAGTCAAGATGGGATTGTTTCTTCTGTAATGACCTGGCAAAAATATGTGCATATATATATATATATATATATATATATATATATATATATATATATATATATATATATATATATATATATATATATATATATATATATATATATATATATATATATATATATATATATATATCACAGTATATATATTTCATTTGTCATGCCATACTATGCTTTTTCGAGAGAAAATTTACTTAAATATTCTCAAGAAACATCAAATAAAATTACACAATAAAATGAGTTCAGTGACATACTGAAAATGCAAGACATCACACAATATTTTGAACTAATTTCAATACTTCTAAAGTAAAACTCTAACAATATGTAAGTTTTTGTATATGAAAATTAAGTTCTACAGAGGAATGCCACTAATATACAAGCAGTTTTCCTCCACATACAAAACATATATTTGCTTCTGAAAGGATCAAAAGTGTTTAGTCAAAAATTTTGAACCCATAATCATCTACAACCAAATCCCAATGATTGATATATTACATTTGTGCTTAAATTGTTTTAAATTATAATACTGTATACATTTGATGAAAAATCAAGAGATTTGTAGACAGTTATCAACCTCTTTGCTATTTGTATTTTTACAAGCCCACCTTCAGGCTTTCTATCCCATTTCCCTTGCCAACCATATTTATTGTCCAAATCCCCCCCCCCCCACCCAACCTCAACCAATGGCCAGCTGCCCATCAAAAACACTTCTTATGAATTATTTCTTGGCTTTCATGTTTTTTTATGGCATTTTAGCAAAGCCGATTACTATCATTAAAGTGATATATTTGTGCCTCAAACTGGTGACAGCTGGTGGAGATGAACAAATTCAGAGAAATATCCCATTACATTAAGTATGAAGGTGAAAGTGGATTCTAAAGACCTGTTGTCTCATTAGGGATTGTTTGGATACAGCAAGCTGTTTACCAAGACCTTTCTTCAGAGCATGCAGAGATACTGTGGCCTGCACTGCACTCAAACACCTTCACTTCCCTAACTGTAAGGTTAAGTATCCAGTCCATCCACCTGGTGGATGGACTGTGGGTGTCCCAAGTATAAACAGTGACCCATACAACTGGAGGCAAACACAACCCAATGAACCATAACATCCAACAAGAATACCAAAACTAGTCGTTTCTTAAATGAATCTTGTAGAAATGTTATGCTTTTTAATTTTTGTGTAAATTTATTTACCAAATTACTAAACTCACTTTAAAACACAAACATTATATTAAAAGCATATGTTGCAATAATATGCAAATTAACATCACTGTTTAAATCATATTTGCACATTACAAAGTTGCTCAGTATTACATAAGGTTAGAACTGATTATTTTGTGTGATGTAGCAAAGAGGTTATATACATCGTTCCTGAATAAAACTAAAGATAATTATCACTTGTATTTACTTTACACAGGTTAATATTGGACTTTGAAATAAAGCAACAAGTGATGGCAATTTAATTAGGTGGCACTGTTTTAATTTGGGGGAGATGAATACCTGTACAGTATTTTCATGAGAACACATCATATATTGAAGACACCAGCATTCAAGTAATAGGGCGGACTCATTTTGACATCACACTTGATTAAAGACAAAAGCAACTGCTTCACCAGTGTAGGCAAAGAAAATGGGCTCAAAATTTTTAACTAAAAAGTATGGTGCAGGACTGGAAGACTTCTATGCTGTCAAATGTCACTAACAATCTGTAGAGAGCTTGCTACATTTTATACCTAAGGCAATCAATCACCTTGGAAAATATGCTTCATCTGCAAGTACAAGTTTTATGTTGCACTTGGATAGGCTTTGCAACAATAAACGGCAAAGTAAAAGCATGATATCGTACAACCTCAATTATCCACCAAAGCACTACTTCATTATTATTATTATTAGCAACTGGATATCCTATGATAATACTGAAGGACCAACACCTGAGATATCAATATTCCTGTTCAAATTAATCCTGTTTCCTCTGTTACCCACCCCAAGCTCACACTTTTACTACTTTACTGTGATTAAGGTACACCATAATTGATTAGGCTCATAATTTGGAGCATTTATTACTTTCGAGACTAATTTAAATAAAAATGTCTCCTCCACCATCACTATTAGCAATGAATGTCTCTGATAGTATGTACTTATCTTTCCTTCCCCCCTTTTATAATTATATATATATATATATATATATATATATATATATATATATATATATATATACAATCAAGGTACAATATTGGGGTATTCATTCAATCACACAATAATGTAGTAAACTTGCTACTTTTGGCAAAAGTCATGACTCACTAGAAGGTGCTGGGACATCAACAAACCTCTTAAACTTGCATTTAAATAATTTTCAAACTCTAAATACCCTGTACAGGTATTGTATTTCTTTTTTTTTTATGTATGCATAAAATGTTTTTTCTTTATTTTGTTATTTAGGAAGTAAAATAAACATTCAACTGAAATTGCAGGATTGTGTGGAAGAAAAACTTGAGTTAGCAAGGGAAGAAAATGCATCTTAACCCAGTAAAAAGTCCGATTTACAAGAATCTTTGGATTTTTATTTTATTTACCCATTTATGCACTTGCTCCATCTCGCATATACACAAGGGTGGAGTTAGAGAGAACAGTAAAATTAATTAAATATCTAATGCATCTTATTTAAGCCAAAACAGGTCTATTGACATCACCTACAGGTGCTAATTTTTATAATAAGCCTTTACTAATTTTCTTTATGACTAGGGTCTTTTATATATACAGGGTACTGTATATAAATAAGCAGGTGATAATTGAGATTCTACTGCAGTACACTACACTGAATTCTTATATACAATGTGACATACTTCTCGTACGTAGTCCTGTCAGCAAAGAAACAAAAAAATTTTTTAATCATAACTCCATGTTCTGAGTATTTATTGACTAACTGAATACCTGGAGCTGTAACATAAAAAAATACCGACATCTATAGCCACCTTGGGGCTTTTCACTGAAATGATCATTACATACAGCAATTTAAAGTATTCAGTAATCTCCCCATTAGCTGGAATAACTGATGCAGAGTTCTTCCAGATTTGAGAGATTTCCAGGTAACCCGGAAAAAATCCCACATGCCTGGAATTTTTCCCATTACTGTGAAAAGTTTCCAAGAGTTTAAACTACACATCTCATCAACTCATCTCACACTTGACAAATACTCTATTACCTCCCATTATATTTAACTGCGGGTATGAGCAAAAATATTTATGGATAATGAAAAAGTGTATAAACTTTTATTCACAGCATCTGTTCTAATTATGCGAGAGATGAATTTGGTACCATAATGGTCCCAAATAAATTTTCTACAAGATTATTTCAATAACAGATCCTCAAATAATATATTTCGACACAATATAATGATGGGGACTCAATTCTTTTATGAAACAACGTAAGAAATGTTGATACCAGAATCTATAAAATCGGTTCTAATTAAGTCAGAAACACCATTTTTCTACTAAAAAATCCTGAATAATTTATCTAAATTTTTGTTCACAAATATTTTTATTATTTTTCTTTATATGATAATACAGGCATCTGAGACATGAATGGAGCATTGTCACACAGCTGAGATAGTGGAATTTTCTACCCTGCACTGTGGAAAGTTTTCCCTGAAAGTCTAAGATATGCATCTCAAGTGGACAGACACAAGAGCTGTATTTATTTACGCAAACACCACTATTCACGTACAATATATTGTAAATAAAATAGCTAATGTATACTACTACTGTACTTTATATTCTGTACGCATCAGCAGATGCTATTGTCTCGAGCCTACAGTAAGCATACACTATCCACTCTGCTGAATTTAATACATAACTGTAATCACTTTTTAGGTCTTAACACTTGCGAAGGAGGTAGGATCAGGGCCAGATTTACCTACTTGTGGGCCCCAGGCCAAACTCATCAGTGGGGCCCCCAAATTTATAGAAATGTTTGCATGTTTCAATGACTGACTGCATGACTGGCTGAGCAAGCTGTCAGCAAACCAACGGTAACCCTGACACGTACTGAACGTGAAACGATCCTGTCCTTCACACGTCAAGGCGCTGAAGTTTCTTGAACTTTATTCTCTCTCTCTCTCTCCAGTATATATGTATGTGTAAATAGATAGATATATAGTTAGATAGATAGATCGATGGTGGGACACGGACATTTAAAAAATGTATATATAAATATATGTATATATTTTTATTATCTTATTTTCTTCATTTTACTATAGGGCCTAGTCCGTGGCCCACCTGAGAACCACCCCATGGCCCATCAGTTGAAGACCACTGCGGGCCTATACTTATTGTACAGGGGCCCCATACTCCGGGCCCTATACTTATTGTACAGGGGCCCTTATGGTTGTGAATATATTATATAATGAAATACTCGGTGTACACTTGAAACAAGGTTATACGCTGGCACGCTGCGCGACAAATTAGTTTCAGTGGGCCCCCAGATACCGGTGGGCCCTAGGCCAATGGCCTACTTGGCTTATTGGTAAATCCAGCCCTGGGTAGGATAGGGGATTAGTGGATCTCATGTTACTAACCTGATGCAATGTCAGGTCACCCATTGTCAGGGTGATAAGATGATACAGGATGAGCTGCCCTTGTCCTGTATCATCCTGTAGCAGGTGTTGCTAACAGTTACTCCCCTCACTCTCCATGAAGGAGGAATTGTATACACACTGTATACTGTACATACACA